GTAATACACAAAGTTCATAATGCAGGGGAATCAACATATAGTAAGATCTTGCATTTTTAGGAGGCTTCTATAATGCAAGATGGGAGGTTAATGCTCTTATTAAAAGCTTAATTGAAAGTACAGTACTATACATGATAAAAGAACAAGAGTTAGTCCATTTTTACTGGTTCAGAGTTCTCTGGCAACTAATTTGCTTCCAATACAATCTCCTCAGCTCTGAGAAAAAGTACCTAAAGATGTGAAAATTTGGGACTAATAATTTTTTAATCAAAATAGAGCCTAGTGGATTATAAACTAAAAGATTGGTGTAACTGATCTGGCTATTTTTTGCTACTATTAATAATTAGATAAGTAATTTGGTATTAGAGGTAGATGTTAGGTGCCATCTCTTATTTAAAGGAATAATTTTAATACAGTAATTTAATACTTATACTTTTTAGAATAGTCTGGAAGAAAAGAATTTGTCCAGAGTGGAATTTGAACCTGCAACTTCTGCTTACATCACCTACACCTCTGAGTGATTCTTTGCCTTCAGACATATTTAATTCTTGGAATTAACTATCCGCAGTTACTCATGCTGACTGGGGACGACTCCTACGCTGCAGTCTTTATAATCATCCCCTATAGCACTTGGCTGGCTATTGCTTTACCTTTCTGCATCATACATATACACACACACACACACACACACACAACAGAGTATATAAACATTACTAAGCCTGATGTATTTTAATAATAAACGTTAGCCCACTTAATTATGGCAATCATTTGGTTTATTATTAATACATTGGGTCTAGTGGATTAACTTCTTTAAAGATTTAGGTTGAGCTTAGTCATCTGAGTTGGGCTAGTCGAAAAATTCTGAATTTCCAATTTTTTTAGGATACTGTAAATCAGATGCAGGTGCACTTCCATGACCCAAAGCTTTTGTACCTGTGTTGCTCCCTGCTATTGGCTGTGTATGTATACTGTATATTTTGCAGATGTAGAACATATACAGTCCAGTCATTTTTTAGGTGATGTGGGTGGATCCTGTAATGTCTTCCTGGCCTAATTATACCTAAGCAGAATACACATTTTTCTGTATCATTTTTTACCTTCTCGGCCATTATAATAGAGGGAAAATATGGTGATCCAGAAAAAAATGACCCCTCCAGATTTTTATATTTTTGGCTCCAGACATCTTGAAATGTCAAGAAATGCAAAAACATTTGAGGCTAATTTTTGTGTGTGTTTGTGGCATGATTTTGTTCATTATGTTTGAAGCTTAATAACTCCAGTGCTTTTTGTCAAAAATTTCTGAAATTTTGCAAAAAGGTTTGTTTATTAGAGAGATCAATGCTATTAAATTTTGGTGGTTAAATGTCCACCATTATCTCCAGATCTCCAGTAGGGTTGTACTTAATTGCAATTTTACTCATTATTAGCATTTATAGTCTTCTATAAACGTCATTCTACCCTTAAAATGAAAGTTTTTGCTGTTTTATAATTTTGAATAGTTAAAAATATAAAAAGTTATTAAAATAAAATATGATAACAGATGGCACCACATATGCAGTTTTAAATGTTGCTGGTTTATTATTATTTTTTATAAGTGTGTGGACTTGGTTGGTGTATTGGATGGTTTTTCTTGACTCCATAGGGATGCAGAATGCTTTTGAATTAATGAAATTAGTTCTTAGAAATAAATGATTTAATCTTGCAGAACTGATGGATGATAGATCTTAAGTTATTTTACAACCTACAAAGAATAATTTTGGAACTTTTAGATTATATTTCTAACTTTTTTACAGATCTCTGCTTAAGTCATAATTTATTTTCATTTATTAAATTGAAAACTGAACTAAATCCTGATTTTTAGATATGTTACTTTCCCAGCTGTTATATATAACAGAGGGAAGTATCCCCAATTGGTCAAAAAATGACACCCCCAAATCTTTACATTTTGGACTCAGAACCTTGAAACATCAAGAAATGCAAAAAAAACTCAAGGGTTTTACTTTCTTGGCTGTTATGTATACATAACAAGGAAAAATCTGGAATCGTGTCAAATTTGACTTTCAGTTTTTTGAAAATATCCATGTTTTGAGACCACCTGAATCCAAAAGTCAAAAAAATGGCAAAAAATTTCATGTGTGTATTGGTGTCACTTAATATCTCAGGATGGATTAATGATTAAGCAATGAAATTTATCATGGTGGCTTGTATATGCGGGGCATTGATACTGTTAAATTTTGGGTAGTGAAAAGTCAAGAGGGGTCTTCTTGTATCTTAAGAGGGGTTGGACTTAAGATTTTATTCATTATTAACATTTTACACTTTTTTATAAAACTCGTCCCTACCCTCAAAATTCAGCTTTTTGCTATTTTATAATAATTAAAAATATTACACTCTGCAAATATCATCGGGCTATAATTTGGCAATAATAATAAAAAATTACTAATAAATTTGGAGTGTTATTGGATAGTGTATGACAGTTGAACTTTTGATTTTTTGAGAGTTGATTTCTTTAGTTCATATTTTAGTTCATATTTTGTGATAGAATTTGAGATTATGTATATCCTAGTATGGAGCTTTCCATACTAGTTGAAGTGTTAAATTTTGGTGATTAAATGTTGAGGAGGTGGGGAGATAATGGGGGTTGTGTGTATCTCCAGTAGGGCCAGACTTGATGACGATTTTACTGGTTATTAGCATTTACAGTTTTTTATAAGATCTAACTCTACCCTCAAAATTAACCTTTTTGCCATTTTATAATAGTTAAAAATATAAGATTTTTTTATTTTAGCTGCTTTTTTTATAAATTAAAAAATAAAAGTACTTTCAATGAAGTATTTTCCATGATGTATTTTCATCTTCATCTGATAGTGATTTAATCAGAGAGGCAAGAGGATTGTTTACATCTAACTAATTTTCAGAAGGGATGATATGGAAGATAGGGGGAGGGTGTGGATGCCAGATGACCAAGAGAGGTGAAATACTCATCAGAATCTGAAGAAAGATATGGTAAAGGCCTCAATGACTGTAAAGAATGCATTGAAGTTTGTTGCTTAGCATGTCATTTTTCTCTCAGTAACTCTTGATAACATTCAAGTAATAAAAATGCCTTACATTGTACAAAAACTTTTCAAAATTGAGTCTTGAGTTATGCAATACTATCCTCATAAGTGATAGATCTTTATTTTTTTGAAAAAAGAATAAAGGAAATTTCATCTGAACAGCAAAATGATATATCTATCCAGATTTTACATGTAAAAAAAATTTCCTGATTACTTTTCTACTAATTTAAAATTCCTAGCAAAACTTTGAAAGTTTATATTGCAGCATAGAACTAAATAATTTTTGTTTTCAAGTGCTAAAAAATAAAATGCATAGCAAAAATATTTACAAAGTGATACTAAATTATTTTAATTGTATACATTAAAAGTATTATGTAAAAGTAATTAAGTTATTAGTAAACATAACAAATGAGAAGTGTTATCATTATTATTCATTAGAGATCTTTCAACATTTGAATGAGATAATGTATCATTGTTATTAAGAGAGAGTGAATAATTTTATTAGTTCAATTTTTGAAATTTAGATTTTTTTTTCTCTCATATTACAATACTGTTTTGTAACAATACTTAAAATATCAAGATCATTTATGGAAATGATCTTGATATTGATAAATGATCTTGATATATCTTGATAAACGATCGTGATATTTTTACATCAAGATCATTTATGGAAATGATTTTGATGTAAAAATATAAATTAAAATTGTAGAATACGAGCAGTTAGTGAACTGGTATTTCACTATTTTATACATTAATTACATATTGTTTGAGTTAAAGTTCTGATTAATTTGACAAAACTTGAATAATTAGTCATAACTATGTGAATAACACAATTGAAACTGTAACTAGGAGTTATATATATTGGGAATATATTAGAATTATATGAACATTCATTAACCCAATTTTGGAATTAAGGACAATCAATCTGCTTTTATCAATCAATCTGATTATTTTATTTATAATCATTAAATTTATCAAGATTTATGTAATTATTAAATAGTAGTCATATTATATCCTGATATAATCTGGCAAATCCTTTGGCCTTATGTTAAACATATATATCAAAGATAAAAAATCATATATATACTTTTTTATTTGAATTTATTAAAGTTATAAAGTATGTACATTAATTATTTTATATACAATGATTTAATTAATGATAAAGAAATTTAATTTGTATACTGTTAAATAGTTCTCTATAAAGTCTAAAAATTATATTAGGAAAACATTTGTTGTTAAAATATTATGTATAGAAACATTGTTTTGATATTTTATAAAGACAAGTTTTTAAATTTTTGTATGTGAAATTGAAATTCATTTCTTTAGTTCATAGTAAATAAGTCTTATAGATTATATTTTGTGATAGAATTTGAGATTATGTATATCCTAGTATGGAGCTTTCCATCGTCTCATCGCTTGCTTCCCAGAAACATTCCATGAGTGGTATTGGAAATTGTGTGAACAGCTGTATTGTAAAGCGGTACCTGCAGGAGAAGGGACTAAGGCTCCTGATTTCGGACAAGGAGAAGAAATTTGTTTTGTGCAAAGAAGAGGATTTTCTGGCCAGAGCCTCAGATTTCCTCAGGCTTTCCCATGCCGAAGTTGTACAGTCTGATCCAACCCCTTCGGTACTAAGGAAGGCTAGGAAAATAGCATCTCTTCCAAGTATTTCCGCTCTTCCTGGGCGTGTGGATCCGCCACCCAATGTAGCTTGTCCTAGGCTCTTTTTTTGAAGTAAAAACCCACAAGGAGAACTGGCCTTTAAGGCCGCTGGTTAGTAAAAGGTCCCACCCAACCTACCACCTGGAGAAGGCTATAGCTAAGTTACTGGGTGGGCTCCTTCCTCCATCGCCTCTAGTTACGTCATCGTCCATTGCGGCAAAGGCCGCTATTTCTACTGTATTGGGTAATCTATCCCATAGCAATTACAACTTCTACAAGATGGATGTTGTTGCACTCTACCCCTCGGTACCACAATTTGAGGCGGTTATGCTCGCCAATGCTAAGCTTGTTAAGGAGGGTTTTACAGCGCAGCAAATCCTAGACATACGAGAGGCCTTACTTTTTATCACGGAAAATAATTACTTTCGATTCAACGGGAAAATATATCTACAGAAACAAGGGGTACCTATGGGCTTTCCGCTCTCTGCTATATTGGCGGAATTGCTCATGCGACATGTTGAGCGAAGAGTGTTTAGCTTCCCCCTCACCATAGCATACCCACTTTTATATCTTAGATACGTGGACGATATTATAGTAGCCTGGCAACACATGGAAGAGGAGTTCCATATCCTCAAAAATTTTCTTATGGAGGTTTATTCTACCATCAAGTTTACCTGGGAAAAGGAAAAGGGAGGAGAAATTGCATTTTTAGATCTAAAGATCACCAAAGCCCAGGATGAGATATTGTTCTCTGTGTTCCATAAGTTCAACAGCATACCTCCTTTAATCCCGGCCACCGCGTACCAGCCGCAACACTATGTCAACGCTGCTATTGCCCCTCTAATTAGAAGGGCCTTTTTGCTCTCTTCTAATCAAGCTCTTGTCAACATTGAGCTTGAGACTATAAGTGCAGCGGTAAGCGCGGCTGGTTACGCTAGATCTAAGTACAGGTACATCCTTGGAAAGGTTAAAAGATCTCTATTTCCTGACACAACTTTACAGGCCTCGGAAAAATGTATGATAATCCAGCCGCCATTACCATTCTGTGGCCGTATTACCGGCCGCGTTTGCCGTATTTTTAGGCAGCATGCTCTCTTCCTGCCAGTGTCGCCGCAGCCAAACCTTAGAAGAGTGTTATGCAACGACAGGGATCCTTTGTCTGTACTAGAGTGGTCTGGAGTGTATTCCATTCCATTGGAAAGTACAACATCGGGTGCTCATACCCAGTATATCGGAGCGACATCCAGAATGTTGTCTTGCCGCATCTCTGAACACAAACAATCTATTAGTACGGGTAGATGCGACACCGAGTTGGCAAGATTAGTGTTGCAACACCAATTTTCTCCGAGGTGGGACCAGGTGGGGATACTCAAACAGTGTGATAGCAGAAACATCCTGTATATATGGGAGGCGCTGTTTACCAGCGTGTTAAATCCATGCAACACTCCCACGCTGGATGTGCCTTCCTTGTGGGTCAACTTGTACAACAGACTAAAACAACGTCGCTAGCTCCGCATTCTCGCAAAATAATCTATTGCTCATGCGCGTCGGCACTGAGCGCGCATCTTTTAAATTCTCTGTTTTTGTTCTATTTGTTTTTATTCCAAGGCTGGTTTGCCGTTGCCGTAATTTTGAATTTGAAGAACATTAACTGTTCTGTTAATTAACCTGAAGAAGACGAAAATAGTTTCGTTGAAAGCGCTTGTTATTTGTAGCGATAGATGTTGGTTATTAATGCCTAGACGATAATTTTCTCAACTTGATATTAATTTCATCAGATTTATAAGAGAATTATTGATGTATATTAAAATATCAATAATTTATCAGTTTCTGCATCATATTGAATTACAATATCACATTTAGAGGACATAAATTAAACAATTATTTCCTCTGTATAGTTCAGGAATTAACTATCCTAAACTAGAAATAAATTAAGTTTATTTAATTTAACAAATAACTATAATAAAGCTACATACCAACAGACTGCCGAAAATCTATCGGGCTAGTTTTCCCGATAGATTTTCGGCAGTCTGTTGGTATGTAGCTTTATTATATCGGGTTTGGTGATGTTTAACTATAATAAATTAGTACAAGAATTAGTTATTTTATGCAGCTTAGATATGAGGGTGGGCTGATATTAAAGACACAGGTTATGATTATATAAAGTACTGTACATGCAATCTCGATATCATGAATGTGTGCAGTGGCAGCTCACGATGTCCAATATGGGGGTGTTGTTTTAGGTGTATGTGCAGCATTGAACCCTAATTGAATAATTTTGATTGGTGCTGATTTTGATTAATTTTATTTAAAATTAATATACATAAAAGAAATTAGGTATGAATGTTTATATAAGTTAAATGAACTACCAGTAACTTACCTTGAACTTGTTACAGGTGTGAGTTATACAAAAAATAAAGTACATCACAAACATTTTCAAACAGCTTAAAGTTCTTCCTCAGGTGATACACAGAATAAATAGAACATGAAGATTTGAAAATTAGAGATAGAATCCATGTCTCGTGAAATCGTTATGTTGGCCATGCGCATTTGTGTGTTCAACATAACATAAGTGAAATCAACAAGGTACATTGTTGACTTCACCCTGGTGTTGTTTTGGATGTAGATGTTTACCATGAACTAACAGATTATTGGGCTATATTATTATTAAAATTAGTCTTAATATATCCTGATAATCCAGTAGTTCATTTGGCTTTATTTAAAACTAGTGACATGTGCTTAGTGTTGCTTGGGTTTTTAAGGGGTGTGGAATGGAAAGAGGGTGATAAAAACAATGATCCTAGTAACTAAAATCTACATTATGTAAAGGTTACTCGTTACCAGGTATTGGTCCAATATATATAATAGACTCACAGAAACCTTTAACACTGACCAGTAAAATATTTAATTGAAAAAACAACAAATGTTTTCGACCATATTTTTCAGCCTTCTTCAGATTAAAAGTTCTGAGATTCAAAAAGCTGTTGTGCTTAAAGATTTAAAAGTTTTAGAATGTTTTGGAACATATCCAACTTTGCGTATAAAATTCATTATGCTCATGTGTATCAAACATTGCATAAACAAAACTATATTTTAAAAAATATTATTTTATACCCACATGAAATGGTGGAAAACACCTTAGAGTTGTGGGGGTCTTCCCCTTCATAAACAAACTTCCAAGCTGTAGAAATATTAATCGCATATTTATAGTTGATGCAGTTATTGCATAATCCTGCTTTATATATTTCCAGAGTTCTAGCGTTCGTATGTGTTCCCTTCTGTGTGATAGTTTAATGATTTGCACATTATGCAAGTTGGCACTTATGCCCAGGGTCGAAGCATAAGTAGATAGGGCAGTGGTACATCTGTTATGATCAATGTCATATTTGTGTTCGCATATACACTTATCTAGAGACCGTATCGTGGCGCCAATGTATACAAGGTCCCTTTGAAATCTATTGTCCCTTAATGGGACAGAATATACCCCTGGTGCAAATCTTTTGTCTATGTCGTCTTTGCAGTTGAGCAGAATGTCATAAATAGCACTACGCCTCTTTTATGCAATTCTGTTGTTTGTACATGCAGCAATTTCTCTGTAAATCAGATCAAGGTGGTGGTTATATTCAACCACAGCCAAAGACTAAGAATTATTTGGAGTTGTTCGTGCATGAGCTGTCATCGTCATTATTATATACTTGCAATGAATAGGCAAATGCAAGGTTCTGAATTAATCTTTGCTCAAACCTGTGTTGTGTGGCTATGTTCTGGATGTGTCTGTTCTGCCAATGTATTGTCAAATTTCGAGTGGTGTGTGAATGCTCTTTTGGTTAGGGCCCAGAACGCCACTACCTTGTACGAAAAGGGGTAATCAGAATTGGCAGGGATGAATAGAGGCATGTAGCATGGCTTGTAATGGACCTTGGTCGATATCCTGTCGCCATCTAATTGTATATTGATATAAAGGAAAGTTGCATTTGAATTGCTTATTTGATCCAATTTGATGCAGAGGCCGTACGGGTTATTATTCATTGCATCAATGAAGTTGTTTATATCAGGCTTAGCATTCCACATAATAAAGATGTCATCAACGTATCTTTTATAAATAAGTATGTTAGAAATATACATAGGTACAATTCTTTGTTCTAGTAGTCTAATGACTAACTCCCACAAATCTCTCGAAAGTGGGCTGCCCATAGGGACACTGCGCTTCTGGAGAGTTGTTGAACTGAAAAAATGATGTGTAGCATAACAGGTGGGCAAGTTCCAATATGTGTTTACGGTACGCTCCATGTGAAGTTAGTAAGAGGTCCCTAATTGCACAAAAGCATGGCTGGATTTTTATAGAAGGGTATAATGAAATGAAATCAAGCACAGTGATGTACGTTCAATCATTAATGCTAAGTGGTCTCAAAGCCTCCAATAACTCTACCGAGTTCCTGACTGTCCATTGATAATTGTTTAAGCTATGAGCTATACGCTTGTGTATAGCTGTGTCTAACGATCTAGTGGGGATCGTGCATTGTCAAGGATTGGTCTCAATGAAGGTATATCCTTGTGTGTTTTGGCGAACGCAAAGAGCCTGGGAGTGTCAGGGGAAGACACCACTGCCCTGCTTATGTTCAATACTCTAGCCAACGGTGTTTGAGTAAACTTTTTTACTTGTGCTTGTAGTTTGTTGACATATCCATCCTCGATAGGTTCACACTCCGTATCATTGATGTATTTTTGCATCATCGAAATGTACATTTTCTTCTTTAATAACACCAGAGCTTTGCTCTTATCAGCCTTGAGAACTACTACATTATTATCTGTTAACCACTTTTTGGGCTTGTAAATCTGCTTCCAAATTCGGTCATCTTGTATGTGGTTGTTAGTATGTTGTATCTTGAATGCTGACTTCCATCTGAAATATTCTTTGTGCACTTTGTTTATCCTATTGATCAGATTTTCTAAATCAGGCATCACTTTTTCATGTTTTATGTAGGAATCACACAGGGCAAACATGGGTCCATGTGATAATGAGCGGATGAGAAAATCAGGAGGTGATATGTTGTCCCAGCATATCAAGGATGGGAGTTGTAGTACTTCATGCAGTTTTTGCTTGTTGAGAATCCAATCAAATTTCTTTTGATAACATATGGATAGGCTTTTTTTGAGCTTACGTTGGAAGGTAACAATTTTCCCATTGATTTCTTGTAGTAACTCTGGATCCTGGTTGTGTATTTGATTCTCAACATTGATTACACAATTGAGTTTGTTGTTTTTTCAATTAAATATTTTACTGGTCACTTAAAGGTTTTTGTGAGTCTATTATATAAAATCTGCATTTATTGATTGGAGTATTTATAACAATGAAGCTGTAAAAAATAAAAAATTGTTCAGGCTTGCGGAACAAATTTTTGTACCATTAGATAACAACATTCACTAATAAATACCAGTACATATAAAATTATCACATCCAAAAACCTTTAAATTTCTGGTACAAAACAAATATAGTCACTGAACTAACGTTTTTGATCTTTAACCAAGATCTTCATCAGGTTCGTTGTCATTCTAAAAATGGAATGTCAAGAATATAGAACATTTTTGAATACAAAATTAAATTTTCTCCCATATGTAATAAAGACCAAAGATTTCAAATTAATTAACTAAACAGAAGTCTTCCATAATAATGATGTGGTCTATCTTCCAAGGAATAATATATAATTACCAATGCGGATGCTCATCACAATTATAGTGCCATGCATAAGATATTACATTACTATCTTTGAAATTTATACAAATCCCTGACATCCCTGACTTGGTTGCTTTGTAAATCTCAAGGGTTTCCAAGGTCCTGATGTGGTCTGTTTTGAATGATTTTTTATAAGACTGGTTTTATTTAAGTTGGCTCTTACATTGGAGTCCGTGGCGTAGGTTGACGGGTGGTGGTGTGTCTTTTTTTGTCAATGTCATATTTATGTTCAGCAATCCTTTTATGAACAGACCTTTTGGTGGATCCAATGTAGACAAGATCTCTTTGGAACCTGTGATCCCTTATCAGGATACTGTACACCTGGTGCTCTCAAATTATCTGGTGTGTCTTTCGTGTTTCTCAGAAGTGAGTAAATAGTTTGCGTTTGAGTAAACCAATTTCGTGCCCTTCTTTTGTGCTATTTCCTTGTATGGGGAATGCAGGTTTTTGTTGTATTGTATAACTGTGTTTCTTATTTGGGTCCTGGTTGGGACTCAAATTGGACCCCCCCATGTTTCATGGAGGTGTGCATTTATAGTATGGAAGTTAAGAGCTAAACCATGGATTAGGTTTCTTTTGTATCTATGATCTGTAGCAATGTCCTCTGTGTCTAAGTTCTTTGACTGTGTCCACCCATTTAGAATTGAGTGAGTGCCCAATTTGTTAATGCTCTGAATGCTGCAATCTTATATGGATACGGGTCCTCAGACTCTGCTGGTATGTATAGAGGTAGGTAGCTGGGTTTGTAGTATACCCTCGTTTCTATATTGCTTTC